CAATTATTCCAAGACATCTATTGAGTCGGAATTGGCGTTTTTGAAGGATTATTTGACGTTTGCCTGTAACTGTTGTATGCACGAGAGATTTTGGAAGGATTACTTTTCACGTTTTCTGTATTCAATGTGAATGTGGTGTTCATTGCGTTGCGCGTTTCAAAATAAGTCTGGCATCGAAATCTCAATCCGATCAGAGAATATGTATTGAGATGTCTGAATCAATCCAGACGCCAGTACGGATTCTGGCGAGACAGGGGTTGATTAAATGGAGATACTACAGAATTCGAATAACACACATAAGAGTCAAATCGGAAATTGCCGTTCACAGTTCATTTCGGTAATATGCGTTGCGCATAATTCAGATGAGGATCCGAAATTTCGCGAATTGGTTTTATTTGAAATGTTTCGGCGAGAACCGTTTCGCGCAGAATTCAGATTTTTCGGGTTGCCTTAACCGAAAATTCTCGAATCGCCTTAATTTCCAGTGTTCGAGATGCCTTATCTCAGAAAATCTGAAATTTTCGACTGATGTAATATTTTCTTGAGGTACACCGAAATCTTGTGTTGTTTCGTGTCTTTCGCATTGAACCCACAGGCAGCAGATCGAGTTCAGAGCTCTCGATTCAAGAGACAAATGCGAATGATGGTTCTGAACCGTTTTCTGTAAGTATCAGCTTTGTATCTGTCCCATAGCTCGAGTTAAATACAGAAAACGGAGAGCGTCTGTCAAAATGACTCGAATAATACGAATAGGTTTGTGGACCTAGCTCGGCTAGCAGACCGAGTTCAGACCTCTAGATTCAACAGCCGAACGCGCCTGATCATTCTGAATCGATTCTAGCTGTGTTTACCAGTTTTCTAGTTGTCCTGAAGCTCGAGTTAAGTTCAAAAAAAAAACCGTCACTGAGTGTCAAGATGACTTGAAACGGCCGATCCCGCCTGCCTGCTTTTTGGCAGTAAAAGGAACCCGATCGAGCTGAGATCAAGATGGCAAGTTTTATTAGAGTTTTGAAATTTTTCGAGTCGTTCAAGATTCAAAGTTTTAATTTGAAAAAAATTTCGGTTTTGTGTTTCATTTTTGCAGCAAGAATCACAGTCATTTCAATCTAGCTCTTGAATTGTTTTTTTGGTTTTGCCGAGGTGTAACGATCGATGAATTTTAATGCGATGTCAGTTTTTCAATTATGCACCCGGCAGAAATTATGTCCGAGGTTTCGCCACAGTACCGCAGAGAAGCATTTCTGCATCAGTAAACTGACAGCGAGTTCTGCATCTGAGAGTCTGCGCACCAACAGAGCATCCCAGCAATTGCAGGGAGCGCGTTCGACATTCATTGTTAGTATGCTTGCAGAATGGATTTGATATTTAAATCCATTAGACGGTCGAATTTGTTGCTTCTTTAGTTTTCCAGTTTGTTGTCGAGAGTTTACGTTTAGGTTTTCGCGTGATGGAACGTTTCGTTTCGAGAGATATGTTTCAGAGTATTTTGCAGGGTACAGCCGATTTTTTTTGTTCAACACCATTTTAGATGTGTTAATATGAGCGTTTCAGGCAGAGACTACTTTTCGAGAGTATCCAGTGCTGTCTGCAACGTGTTGAATCAGATGCAGTAGTTCTGAGTTTTTCGTCTACATTTCGAACATTTGTTGGTTGTTTCAGTTTGCATGTTGCACCATCCTACACATTCGTATTTAGTGTGATTATGTTGTTCGAGTTGTTTCGAGGTGATTATGGTGGTTTGCCTTTCTTTGCACCGATTTGACACAGTTTTGGTAGCCTTTGAGAGAGTCAAAAACCATTTGCGCACATTTGCGCAAATGGTTTGTTGGCGGGCTATAGTGAACCTACACGGCTCAAGCAAAGACAGACTTGAGCTGTAGGATTTTTTCCGTTTTATAGTATGGTTGGAGATGCCTGAACCATTGATTTACAATGAAAATCGAGACGTAAAGCACCAATATATTCATTGATTATATTCGTTGTTTGTGTTGTTGCCCAGATTGATTTACCGTCAGCCATCAGTCAGCCTGCAGTTTTCGGCGTCGGCCCAACCGGCACGTTGAGCCTGCCTCAGCCTCAGCCTGAGCATCGGTTTGCCTCAGCCTCAGCCTGCCTTGCCTTAGCTTCAGCCGCTTCAGTCTCAGACGCAGGATCCTTCTTGGGGGCTCGCGCTCGGCCTCCGGCGCGGGTTCAGGATCGAGCGCAGGCGCTGGCGTGTGCTCGGGGTGGGGTTCGAGCTCGGCCTGGTCCGACGGGCTCGGGCTCGGGCTCGGACTTGGGCCTGCGTTCGGGCACGGTCTCGGGCTTAGGCGCAGGCTCAGGCTGGACCGCAGCTAGGGTTTCGGCTCGGGCTGGTTCGGGCTCGGGTTTCGACTCGGGCTCGGGCTCCGGCTCGAGCCCGCGTTCAGGCATGGGCTCGGGCTGGCTGGGGCTCGGGCTCGTGCTCGGGCCCGGACTCGTGGTTGGGTTCGCGCTCGGGCCTCGGGCGCGGGCGCGGACGGGTTCGGGCTCAGGTCGGACTCGAGCGGGCTCGGGCTCGGGCTCGGGCTCGGGTTTGGGCTGGGCTAGGGCTGGGGCTCGGGCTCGGGCTCGGGCTCGGGTTTTGGGCTGGGCTAGGGCTGGGGCTCGGGGTCGGGCGCGGGCTCGGGCTTGGGCTCGGGTTCGGGCTCGAGCTCGGCTCGGGCTCGGGCCCGGGCACGGGCTCGTGCGGGCGCGGGCGCGGGCGCGGGCGCGGGCGCGGGCTCGGGCTCGGGTCGGGTTTGGGCCGGGCTCGGGCTCGGGCTCGGGCTCTGGCTTGGGCGCTCGGGCTCGAGCTCGGACTCGGGCTCGGGCTCGGGCGGGGGCTCGGGCGCGGGCTCGGGCTCGGGCTGGCTTGGAGTCGGACTCGGGCTCCGGCGCGGGCGCAGGCGTGGGCTCGGGCTCGGGCCCGGGTTCGGGCTCGGGCTCGGGCTCGGGCACGGACACGGGCTCGGTCAGCCTCAGTTTGCCTTCAGCCTCGGCCTCAGCCTCCGCCTGCTTCAGCTTCTGCTCGCACCAGCCTCAGTCTCACCCTCAGTCCCAGCTTGCTTCAACCTCAGCCTGAGGCTGCGTCAGACTCAGCCTCAGCGTCAGCCTCAGCCTCAGCGTCAGCCTCAGCCTCAGCCTGTATCAGCCTCAGCCTCACCTTCGGTGTGCCTCAGCAGCAGTCGGCATCAGCTTCAGCCTCATCAGCCGCAGCCTTCCTCAGCATCAGGCCTGCTTTTGCCTCAGCCCGTTTCAGCCTCAGCATCAGCCTGCCTCAGCCTCAGCCTGCCACCCTCACCCTGAGCCTCAGCCTCAACCTGCCTCAGCATCAGACTGCCTCAGCCTCAGCCTCAGCCTGCCTCAGCCTCAGCCTCGGCCTCTGCTCCTCCTCGTCCTCCTCCTCCTCCTCGTCTTCCTCCTCCTTCTCCTCTTCTTCCTCCTCCTCCTCCTCCGCTTTCTCCTGGTCCTTCTCCTTCTCCTCCTCTCTCCGTCTGCTTTTTCTTCTTCGCATCGTCCGTCTCTTTCGCCCAAACATAACCCCTGAGCCTTGAACCATAATCTCTGAGCCGTAGTTCCCATCGGTAAAAAACTCGAAACCTTCTGCCCTAAGCCCTGAGGCCCGAACCCTAACCCCGAAGCCCCGAAGCCTAAACCCTAGCCCCTAATAGCCCTAAGTTCGAAACCTTGAGCCCTAAGCCCTGAACCCTGAGCCCTATCCCCGAAGCTCCGAAACCGAAGCCCGAAGCCCCCAAGCCCTAAGCCCCGAGGCCTAAGCCAGCCTTGACCCCTAAGCCCCGACTCCTAACCCCTAAGCCCTGAACCCAAAGGCCTACGCCCTGAACCCTAAGCCCCGAACTTTAAGTCTTCAACCCTTAGCGTTAACCCCTAACCCCTAATCCGTAAGCTCTGAACCCAAAGACCACATCCCCAACCCTTCAGCTCCAAGCTCTAAGCCTTAAGCTCTAAGGTCGAGGCTCCAAGCCCTGAGACTGAACACCTAAGCCCTGCGCCCTAAGCCGAAAGCCTTGAGCCCTTGCCCTTAATCCCGAAGAGCCCTAATCCTTAAGCCCCGAACCCAAAGCCCGAAACCCCGAACCCTAAGCCCTCAGCCCTAAGCCCCAAGCCCCAAGCCCCAAGCCCTGAACCCTAAGCCCGAAGCCCTAACCCCTAATCCCTAAGCCCTTTGCCTTAAGCCCCAACCCCTAATCCCTAAGCCACAAGCCCGAAGCCACAAGCCACAAGCCCCGAACCCGAACCCCCAAGGTCCGAACCCTAACCCCCTAGGCCAGCTCTAGTTCACCCATGCTCCCTTCTCTTACCCTCCTCGTGCGGCCTGCCCTCGTCGCGCTTGTCTTGTTTTTTTTTCTTCCTCTCGCTCTTCCCCTGCGCCCCCTCCCGCTTCCACGTGCGAAAGCCTAGCAACGCATCATTGCGGCGACCCTCTTGCTTGGGCGTCATTTCCGAGTCTTTTTTCGCCGATCCCTGGCCGTAGATGATCTTCTGGCTCAAGGCGGCCAGTTTCTTCTGAATTCGCAGTGTTTGGGGATTTCGAAGCGAATCTAGCAAATTTCCGCGGGATTGGGGTGATCGAGCTTTCGAGGGGCCCAGGGGCTTCGATCGATCGGTTCAAGTTGCATTTGTATGGTTTCCTTTCGTTGAGTGCCGATTTAGAGAGGATTGCATTGGCCGAGCATTATTTACCCAAGTTCGGTAAAGTTTCGGCGCCTTCGTGTCAGATCGGTATATCCTCGTGACGCCGGCTCGCTTCTGGACTCATTCTGAGCGCTTCGCGTCTTTCAGTTTGCGGATCCCCCGAAGCAGCCTCGAAGCAGCCTGACCGGAAACAGTGTAGTATTACTGCCTATATCGTATATATACATATATACAGGTGTGTAAATGTGTATATAGATACATACATATATATACACACGCACACACACACACTCACTCACACACACAACAAACAAATGAGCATGGATCTGGGAAGAGGGGAAATAGATCGCTAGACCACCTGCGCCGCTAGACCACCTGCGCCCAGACGGCTGGCGGGGTTCGTCCGGTTCTGGCTCAAGACTCTGGGGCTCCGCTACTGCTTCAGTCTGCCCTTTCGCTGTATCCCCGTGACCCACCCTGTCCGAACAGTTGGGCCGCCGTTTGGCCCCGCTGCCGCGCCAACACAGGGTTTTCTCTCCGCCATGGGCGGCGGGGCATCATCGGGCGAATCGCCGGCTGATAAGGTGAACCGTCTTGAAAGAAATATTTCACAGTACGAAAGAGAGACAAATGATAAAGTGAACGCGGCGGTGCAAAAATTGGCCAACCAACAGCGGGAGAACGAACAGTTGAAGAAGGATTTGAAGAGGCGGATCGAGGAGACCGAATTGATGAAGAGCGAAATGCAGCAGCAGATGGAGGAGCTAATGGGCCATATGGAGGATCTAATGCGCCATATGCAGGAGCAGATGCGCAAGGCGCGCGAGGATGCCGAAGAGTTGAAGAGCCAGATGCAGCAGGAGACCGAAACGTTGAAGGGCCAGATGCAGGAGCAGATGCAGGAGATCGAAACGTTGAAGAACCAGATGCAGGAGCAGATGCACGCCACCTTGCAGCACTCCAAGGAAGAGAGGGACGAGGTGGCGCAGAGGACAAACACATTGGAGAAGAAGATGGGCGACGCCGTGAAGAAGAGCGGCGAGGATTTGAAGCAACTTACACAATTCCTCGTTGCCAAAAAGAAAGCAGGCGACACCCTGCGCACGGTCGGCAATGGATTGGCAACGTTCTTGGATACCCTCTACCTAGTATGCTACTTTCCGTGGTGGCTTGTCTACAAGTTCCTGCGCGGTCGCTCCAACAACGCCGTCGTTCCTAGTGGAGAGTCAGAGGACGAGGAGGCGGGAGCAATCACAGAACCTCGGGACGATGCCGCAGGCCATCCACGCGATGTCGACAGCAGGGGCAGCGCAAACACCATCCCTATACCCGTGTGGTGGGGAGGCGTTGCCAACAGTGTTGGAGTATCTCTCCTCGTTGCAGTGGGATCTTCAAATGGCCAAGTGGACGCCCTGATGAACAACCGTGTCCTGCTCCTGGCCCTATGGCCAATCATGGTCTTGACTTGTTCTGCCGCGGGCATGGCTACGCTTGACCTGGCGATGGGGGGCCAGAAAGTGAAGACCACCATCTGCGCGTGCTTCCAGCTCGAGGACTTCAATATGGTGTCTGACCGTTGCTTCTTCCTAGCCGCTCTCGTGCCAGCGGTCGCGGCAAACTTAATCCTGTATTATTTTCTCAGGGAACTTACATATTCATCAGAGTGCTCGCGGGACATCACTTCGAACATGGCTGGTGTATCTTACTGCTTCACCGACATTGCCAATGAATTGGAAATTGGATTGGAAGTTTGCTGCCGCGTCTCCCAAGAAGCACGGTTCACCTTCTCCACGTTCCTGGCATTCTTGTCGGGAAACGTGTCTGCCGGCGTGTTCGTGGCGAGGGCCGCCATGGGCGTAGAAGTCAAAAGCCAAGCTAAAGTCACAGTTCCGGGTCAGTCGGACGCGAACGGAGAAGACAAAGAGCAGGCCACAGAGGCCTCGGCGGAGCCCGCGGATCTGGGGCCCCGATCCGCGGGCCAAGCCGATGCCCGCGGATCTGAGGCTCAACTTCTGAGCTGATGTAGTCGCGCCTTCGTACCAGCGGCTCCTGGCACAGCCCCTCTGTGCGTAGGCTGGGGATCTCTCATATCTAATGCCTCCGCCTCGTGATCTCTCCTGGAGAATCCCCCGTCACCTTCAGTTTTCCAGCAGCCTCCGTCCTTCCCCCGCTCTTCTTGCTCCTTCCGCCGCCGGGCCGCCGGCGCGGCCCTCGTCGTCGTCGTCGTCGTCGTCGTCGTCGTCGTCGTCGTCGTCGTCGTCGCCCTCGGCCCTTACGAGGGGCGGTGGTCCAGCGCGGCCCCAGCCGAACTTTTCAATCGCAGGGATCGTACTTACCCGCGCGGCTCCTGTCGCGCGCGTGCGACGTGCGGGCGTGGAGGGACAGCGACCGTCGCGCTCAGGCATCGCTGGTCCTGTATCACTCAGGGCTTTCTGCTAAAGATTTTTCGCAGTGGAACTTTTTTCCATGGTTCGCAACTGCTTTGAAAAGTTAATCGTGACAGAAATTGGGGCTTCAATGGGGCCGACCGCGCCTGAAACCAAATCGGGCCCCAACATATAAAACAACATATACGACCAATAATCAAATGATCGCACGACGCTGTCTGCATCTTCGAACCAACAAGGCGCGGAGGAGGAAAGGCAGCTACTTCCCCAGAGCGCGCCCTGACCATGATCGCACGGCGGATCCAGCCACGTCGACGGGGGGCCCTGGAGGCACGGCTGCTCTCCCGAATCGCCTGCATGTGCAGCTCCTCACCCCTCGGGGACGAGAAGGGGAATTATGCTAACGGAGTTCCCCACATAAAGAGAGTAACGGTTTCGTGGGACCCATTTTCTTGATGCCCTCCTCGCTTTGGCGGGGCCCCGCTTGGGAGGGGCACGAAACCATGTAAATAGTATGGTATTCCGATACCCTCCTCGCTCAGGCGGGGCCTCCCTGGAGGGGTGGGAGGGGCACGAAACCATGTAAATAGTATGGTATTCCGATACCCTCCTCGCTCAGGCGGGGCCTCCCTGGAGGGGTGGGAGGGGCACGAAACCATGTAAATAGTATGGTATTCCGATACCCTCCTCGCTCAGGCGGGGCCTCCCTGGAGGGGTGGGAGGGGCACGAAACCATGTAAATAGTATGGTATTCCGATACCCTCCTCGCTCAGGCGGGGCCTCCCTGGAGGGGTGGGAGGGGCACGAAACCATGTAAATAGTATGGTATTCCGATACCCTCCTCGCTCAGGCGGGGCCTCCCTGGAGGGGTGGGAGGGGCACGAAACCATGTAAATAGTATGGTATTCCGATACCCTCCTCGCTCAGGCGGGGCCTCCCTGGAGGGGTGGGAGGGGCACGAAACCATGTAAATAGTATGGTATTCCGATACCCTCCTCGCTCAGGCGGGGCCTCCCTGGAGGGGTGGGAGGGGCACGAAACCATGTAAATAGTATGGTATTCCGATACCCTCCTCGCTCAGGCGGGGCCTCCCTGGAGGGGTGGGAGGGGCACGAAACCATGTAAATAGTATGGTATTCCGATACCCTCCTCGCTCAGGCGGGGCCTCCCTGGAGGGGTGGGAGGGGCACGAAACCATGTGAATAGTATGGTATTCCGATACCCTCCTCGCTCAGGCGGGGCCTCCCTGGAGGGGTGATATGGTATGGTATGCTATGGTACGCCATGGTATGGTATGGTACGGTATGGTACGTATGGTGTGGTATGGTATGGTACGGTATGGTACGTATGGTGTGGTATGGTATGGTATGGTATGTGTGGTAGGAACTATGGTATGGTATGGTGTGTGTGGTGGGAATAATAGTGTGCTGTATGGAAGATGGAGCGGGAGGTATGGTGTGGTATGGTATGGTATGGTATGGTATGGTATGTGTGGTAGGAACTATGGTATGGTATGGTGTGTGGTAGGAATAATATTGTGCTGTATGGAAGATGGAGCGGGAGGTGGGTGGGAAGGAGAGGGTGTTCTGGGAAAACAAGAGCCCCACTCAGGATGTGGGGAAACATAGCGAGTAGCGAACACCATAAGAAGTAACACCGCGAGAGGCATAGCGAGTAGCATAGTGATTGGCATAGCATCTCGAACCAACGCGGGACACGACGGGACAACACTGCGGGACACCACGGGACATCACAAGGCCACCGCCGACCACCGCGTGGAAGCAACATGTTGCCCAATTTCCCCTTAGCCCGGCGGGATCATTCCCTTCGCCCGCCTACGCAGCTTCGCCTCGCCCGCCCGCGCGCCCGTTCGGCGCCGCTCCATGCGGGGGCAGATGCGCGCAAGGAGAGGGGCAAACATTTAGTGAACACCCCGAGGGGGGGGGGGCGCCCTAAGAAGGCCGCCCGCGGGAGGGAGGACGAGGAGGAGGAGGAGGAGAGGGGGGGGGAAGATGTCCACGGAGACGGCGAAGAGGATGAGGAGGTGCAAAAGGAGGAGGACGACGCAAAGGAGGTGGCAGAGGAGGAAAAGGAGGAGGACGAGAAGGAGCAAGGAGCGAGGAAGAGGGTGAGGGGGGAGAGGAGGGGAGGAGGAGACGGAGGATGATGAGGTAGATGAGAAAGTGGAAGAGGAGGAGGAGGGAGAGGAGGAGGAGGACTGAGGATGAGGCAGAGGGGGATTAAAAGGTGCCGCGGGTGAGGAAGACTAACGAGCAGGACAAGGAATAATCAGGAGGGGGGAATAGGAGGCTTGGTATTTCCATGGTCCGTCGCATTGCTCTGAGTGTTATGCTGGTTGCCGCGCGGGTGTTCCCCCGAGTCAAAACTCTGCAAGCGCACCGACGCGAACGCGATCAAAAACTGCGCGCGCAGCAGGAGCGCAGAGGTCGCTGCCAATGGCAAGCGTGAAGCGGCTGCCTGTGGCAGGCGTCTGCCAATCCCATGGCAAAGGGCGAGGGAGGCGGCTGCCAATGGCAAGCGCGACCTAGCGACGCGACCTAACGACCCTGAGAAGGTCGCAAGAATGACGGTAAGGACGAACTGGACATACCGACCTTGGCGAACACCTGACCGTGGAGGTCCGCAGCCTCGTATGCCGCTTTGCCCGCCGCTTCCACTTTGCGCCGCTTCGCGTACGCGCCGAGCGTCGCGTGATGGTCCCGCTCCGCCCTGGACAGGACGCATGATTCGGGCGCGGGCAGTAACTTGCAGAATTGCACGCCGTCATTATGCACCATGTCTACCAGGCTTCGCGACACGTACGCGGGCCTCTGATTGATCGCCGCGTCTCTGCGGTGTAGAGTTGAACGGGCGCTCTTGGAGAGAGCCGTTGTATACTCGGTGTTTGCTACTGGCGCGGCAGGGGCCGCGACGGGCTGAATGGCCGCGACGGCGACGGCGGCTGTTTTAGTGAAGTGCCAGGCCGCCGGGTCTTTGGAATCGAAGTGTCGGCACAAAGCCGCGTCCATGATGGCCTCCTCCCCTCCCAGGCCCCGCAAGCCTGCAGCCTTCAAAGACGTGCGCGACGACAGATTGGCATCGCTGAGGGAGTGGCGATATGTTTTTTGCTCCAGATTGTGCAAGAAAGATCCCACTGTTTCCGCTAGGGATTCTGTAGACACCGACGTATGCACCGAGAACTGATACGCAAACACAATGTTCCAGATACGTCTCGCTCTGATTTCCGTCAACGGGGTCGATTGCACGTAAGCGTACACCTTCCTCAAATCGGCATCCCTCTTCGCGGATACGTACATGCACAATCCGTGAGTCCTGGACGTGACCTGCACCGGGCGCCGCGGAGCAAAACGCTGCCAATGGCAAGCTTCAAGGACGTCTGGCGGGGAAACTTCAAATACCGCACCAGCAGCAAGACCGGTGCTTACATCGAGCTTCCTCAAACAGTATGCCGTCACAGGCATGAACTCGAAACCGAACGGGCACTCGCGGAAGCTGCGCACCCAAGCCAAGAAATCATCATACTGCCTTGAAAAATCTTCCAGGCTGGTCGCATGAAATAGCTCCTCTGGCGGATCTCTGAGCACTGATGCGACGGATGCCGGCGTGACCCCCCAGAGCCTGCCCACGCACACTTGAAACAACATGTCCAGCGCGTCGCGCGTCCGGTCCCGACTCCCAGGGAAATTACTGACACTGCCGAGCAACGCATCCTTCACTTTGATCTGGAACAACCAATCCGTATGCACCAGGAAAAGTTCCCGTTTGCCTAACTTCTGAAGAATGCGATCGCCCAGCTCCTGGTCGTGAGACTTACCAGACTGAACAAAAACTCGCCGAGTGCCAGATCGTTGCCTGGTTCCTATCACCCAACTCAACGTCAGGTTGCTACCCTCGCGTCGCGAAGGGCCAACAATAGTGGAGCCGCCAACGGCAGGCCCTGCAATTGAAACATCGCGCGCAGCAGACGCGTTGCAAGTGTCGTCGTCCAAAGTGGTATCTTCATCTTGCTCGTTGTCAACAGCTGGCAAAGGTTCCTCATCAGAGCCGTCTGGCGGCTGCCCGTCGCGCGCTAGGTCGCCGTTCGTTGCGTCTCTCAAAATAGCATCAAGGTCAACGCATGATACCTTTGTGGGGAGCACGCTGCAATGATCGGCAAGCTCCGACGCAGCTTCGTGAAGGACGGCATCGCTAGGTCGTGAAAGTGGGCTGTCATCGAAAAGCGGTTTCTGCGGTCGACGCGGTGCGAAATAACACCGCTCTCTTGCATCTGAAGCGCCACTGCCATGCGCCTCATGCGGGACCTCGTCGTCGTCGTCAGGGATCACAGGTGGCAACTCGCGGGACTGGCAAACATCAACTTTCTTGAACAGAGAAATCTTCAATGACCTTTCTATGAAAACCTGCCGCTCGCGAAGTGCATAAGCCCTGAATGCGTCGAGGGCGCCCAAGACCTCCGCGAAGCGCTGCTCCCTCCGCGCAGCTGCCCCCGCCACCTGGAAGCACGACTAATGCAGTTGCGGGGCCGTGGAAACATTTGGCTTTCGGTGGCCACCACGCGATTTGAATTTCTTGACGCTTCGCCTGGCCCCAACGGCCTATCCAGAAACAATGCCCAGCCGACTTGCGTTGATGAGGGAAGTGTCGGAGCACGCAATGTCACAGAGAGGGGGCGTCCATTATCTTTGGAAGGAGCGTGATAATGAGGAGGAAAGGGAGGAGGGGGCAACGAAAGAGGAGCAGGAGGAAGGAGGGGGGATTGGATGATGGAGGAAGAGGAGGAAGCGGAGGAGGCATCGCGTCGTTGCCACTTGCACCTCGCCAGGTTGAATAATCGTGGGAATTGTGGTCTCGTTGTTTGTGAATGCATGCCCAAAGCTTTGGAAGGGTCTGAACCCTACCTAACATTCGTGATGTTTGCCCTGGCCGTGGTCCAGTAGGAGTGTTCTCGTGCGATCGCCATCGTTCGGTGCGCCATTCGCAGGGGCAGATCGCGCGCCTCGACGGCCCCCCAATTCCCCAAATGCCAAGATCAGAACATCCGTGCAACTCTCCTATTCCCACCAGCACTCTGGGCGGAGGTGGTTGAGCGAGCTTGCCCTGCTACCCCCCTCTTTCCCCTCGGA